TACCCTCTTCCCCCCATCCAACCTCACTCCTTCCCCATTACCACAAACAACCCTTCCTCCCTCCCCTTCCTCCTCCTCATCACAAAACAACTTTTCCTCCCTCCCCTTCTCCCCTTCATTACTAAAACAACCATTCTCCTCTCCCCTCTTCCCCCCATATTACCAACTATCCCTCCTCCCCCTCCTATTACCACAAACAACCCATCCTCCTCCTCCTCCACGTGATTCCAAACTCTGTTAACGACAAGTCAACAGCAAAACAAACAAACTTGGGTCCATAATTTGATATGGAAATGATTCTCGGTAATTTCCTTCCTTTCAGATCCAAATAATTATGCGTCGCGCGTGAGTCAGTCGTCAAAACACACAATTAACAGAACCAGCGGCCGGAAATTCGATGCAGACACTCTGAAATTAGTAATCAAATGCCTTTCATTCCTCCCTAAAACGACCGGCCAATTACCATTCACGATAAAACACACTGAGTATCGCGCCGACTTACGCCCAACACTAACGCATTACGCTTATGTAACGCCACACACACACACACACACACACTCTCTTATGTTGTGTAATGTTACTAATCTTTTCCACTGGGGTGTATTATGCTAGTGACTGCCACTCATCTTCACCACCCACCACCACCCACCCACCTGTACCTCTCATCATCCTAACACGTTCTTTACCTCAGATGAATCTCAATCTTTACCTCCATTCTCTACTTTATCTCCTGTCTCTTCTCTCCCCCCCCACCTCCTTTATTCCTCTCTCTCTCTCTCTCCTCTCTCATCACCCCTACGTTCTATACTTCGCCTTCACCTCCTCTCTCCACCCCTCCCCCTCCCCTCCCGAGCAGCAGGTGCGTCTGACAGTGTGGTTCTCTATAACACATCCAGCCAGCCACGCGCCTCACCTGCTCCGTGTTTCATATTCCTACCTGTTGTAATTATTCTCGCGTGTTATTCTCTTCCCATCTTTCTCTCTCTCTGTTATGTTGTGGTTCTCTCTCTCTCTCTGTCTGTTATGTTGTGGTCCTCTCTCTCTCTCTCTCTCTCTCTCTCTCTCTGTCTGTTATGTTGTGGTCCTCTCTCTCTCTCTCTCTCTCTCTCTCTCTCTCTCTCTCTCTCTCGGGCAACAAGCTGGGTGCCTTAACTCATGTGAACCGGTTGCAATAACACGTACTTGAAATATAAATAAAAAATTCCCTCCGTTGCGACAGACATCCATACGTTCAGTCAGTAAAGGTGGGAGCTGGGTTGAGTAAACGAAGGTAACGACAGCGCCACCGCAGGCAGAAGACGAGCGAACGTTTGCTTGGGGGGGGGTTCTATAACCTTATTATCATTATAGACTGTGGAGTTCTGCCAGGCGTTAATAAATGCTCAACCTGGCGCTGTTTCGCACGAGAATTAACCACAAACACGAAATATATCATTTAACAAGTATAATAACCACCGTACACAAAATACCTCGTAATTTAAAGAGACTTATAATTACTCTTGACAGGAATCCAATACACAGGAAAGTACAACACACACACACACACACACACACACACACACACACACACACACACACACACACACACACACACCTTGACTTGAGCGACTCTGCAGGTGCACACAAGATATAGGTGTTTTTACATCGCTTGCCAGCCACGTATTAATTAAAAGGTAAATGACTCTATTTTCGAAGCTGTCATAACTCCCGGGCTCGACGTCTCTCCCCGCGATATTTTTATCTGTGAGGGATGAACTATATACGACCTCTCTGCCCGCCGACGCCTTCAACAATCAGTGTCACCTTCTGTTATAGCTCTCTCTCTCTCTCTCTCTCTCTCTCTCTCTCTCTCCCTCTCTCTCTCTACGTACCCAAACACCTTTACATATTTTGTCCACAGTATCGAGACCTTCCTGTACCACACACACCGCCTTTATCACCTGCTGGCTCAGGTGTGTACGTCACCCTCACACCTGCTGGCTCAGGTGTGTACGTCACCCTCTTACCTCCGTACGTCACCTTCACCGTCTCGTTAGTCACTTCTCACCTCCTTTATGTCTCCTTCATCATCATCACCATCATCACCATCGTCATCATCGTTTCTCTAGTTATTATTCGTCCTCCTTCACCTCGCCTCGTTAGTCCTTGATCATTATCTTTACGTCTTTATTGTCACCTTTTCCTTAGTTCTCATTCGTCGTCTTCCACCTCCTCCTTACTTCTCCATCATCATCAACATTTCTTCTCTTCCTATTCCTCATCTTCCACATCACTTACTCAGCCTTTTCTTCTCCTCACCCTCCATCTCCTCCTCTTCCTCTCCATCATCATCATCAACATTTCTTCCCCCCTCCCCCCTCCCACACACACTCATTAGCACTCTCCTTCCCACTCAACCAACCCTTCCCACTCGACCCGCCTTACAGATGTCTTCTCTTCCTCCCCACCGCACTTTCTCGTCTATTCACATATTTCAACTTCTTCTTCCTCCTTTTATCACTTCTTGCACGTTTTCGGCATTTTCTGGGAGGAGGAAGGGGGGTGGAGGAGGGGTAGATGAGGGGGGGAGGAGGAGGAGGGGAGGGGTTATTTTGCCAACCTCTTCACATGAATCATTTCCCATTTTTCTCTTCCTTTACGCTACACTGCACTGTCCCTTCTCTCCATCCCTCCCTTCTCCCTGTCCTTCCCTCCCTCTTTCCACCCTTCTTTTCTCTCCCCCTCCCCATCCTCCTCTTATTCACACCGTTTCTTCTCGTCACCTCTCCCATGATCCCAGTAATAATTTTCCTGCTTAACATTATCATTCGCTATCAGCTTAACACTTCCCCCCAAACTTTTATTTTTCTCTCTATTTCTTTCATTTCTTAAACATCTGTATTTTTTAAAATCTTTTATTCCTCTCTTCTTCTTCCTCCTTCTTTAAATCTCTTTCTTCTCTCGTCAGTTGCTTAGTCTTTTGTTATCTTCTTTATAAACCCCTTCCCTTATTCCCTCCACCCATTCCCTCCACCCACTCCCTCCACCCATTCCCTCCACCCACTCCCTCCACCCACTCCCCCCTGCACCCACCTCTCTGTCCACTCCTCACTCCACCCTCACCTCCTCACCCACTCCCCTTCACTCCACTCCTTGCACTCCACTCCCTTCCACCCACTCCCCCACCCACTCCCTCTCAATTCACCCTCCACCAGAGATATGCTCCTAATCCCTGCAGGCTGACGACGTGAGGGTTTCAGCTGCATATATTTTACTAAGTAAGTGACTTTACACCTTCCCCAGATGTCGGAGGAGAGGAGAGGGTGGGGGAGGGAGGAGAGGGTGAGGGAGGGAGGTGAGGAGGAGAGGTAGAGGGAGGAGAGGTGGTGAGGGGAGAGAGGTGGTGAGGGAGGAGAGGCAGTAGGGAGAGGTGGGTGAGGGAGGAGAAAGAGGGAGGAGAGGTGGTGACGGAGGAGGTAGTGGGAGGGGAGGAGAGGTAGTGGAGGGAGGAGAGGTGGTGGAGGGAGGAGAGACAGCGACGGAGGAAGAGAAGAGGAGGAGGGAGAGGGAGAGAGGAGGTGAGGGAGGGGAGGTAGTGATATACACCTAAATTTTTCCTGAGGCTAAAAGAGGGAGGGAAGGGAGGGAGGAAGGAAGGTTGCCTGCCTGCATCTCAGCCACCCAGAGAGACCCATTTTAGCTCCCCTCCCTCCCCCTTCCCCACCCTCCCCCCTCCTCCTCCTCCCCTCCATCTCTAACCCGTGTAATATATAAGACGCTATCTATTCCTTCCTTCCCTCTTCAATCTTTCTCTGTTCCATCTTCATCATATCTGTCATTATTTATTTGCATATTCCTTCATTCATCATTCTGTTTGAGGCATCCACGGTAAGTGCTCCGTGCTGGTCCACCATAACAACAGCTGGTCCACCATAACAACAGCTGGTCCACCATAACAACAGCTGGTCCACCATAACAACAGCTGGTCCACCATAACAGCTGGTCCACCATAACACCAATTTCCCCACCATAACAGCTGGTCCACCATAACACCACCCCCACCATAACACCACCCCCACCATAACACCACCCCCACCATCACTCTCACTCAACATCACCATAAATGCCTCTTTAGTTCTCTCATTTCCTCGCTTTATCGCCTCATTACAACATTTTTCAATGCGACTTTATTACCCTAATTTACTATTATAAAATCCGTATCACAATACATTAGTTTTTCATTTGATTTGATACTTTTTCTCCTATTTCTACGTACCTGTATATACCTGTATCATGAAACAATATGAATCAATACAAACTTCTACTAATTAAAGAAATAATATAAACAGGTATTTTTAGCGCCATCTTTAATCTTACGGTGAAATATACGTCAAAAAAATGGTTAAAAAGAGTGATATTAGGAGGTCACCTGACGAGGCCTCAGTGTGTTGAGGTGAATCTTGGCTCACCTTCGACCACCCCTTCGTCAGGTTTTGTCCAGCCAGCGTTTCTTACAGCACAAAGTTGCACAGTGAGGATGATGCACTGTAGATTGACTTTAATAAACAGTATGTATATATTACAGCTCTCAGAAAATACTCGAGGTTTGGGATGAAGGTTTTTTACGAGGAAGTTATACCTTAACCTGATAACTGCAGTGGTTGATGACGATCTATACTTTACAACAGTGGTGTATTTATATTGTTACCTTTTACAGCAACTAATGATAGAGACCAAAAGCTTGAAAATGCTTTGATATAAAGATGTTTGTTAAAGTTCTTTGGTGTGTGTGTGTGTACAGAGAGAGGAGACAAAGAGAGAGTGAGACAAAGAGAGAGACAGACAGACAGACAGACAGACAGACAGACAGACAGACAGACAGACAGACAGACAGGGCCGCATCATCCCCATCACTGTTATATAATTCACTGGTCATCATCCCTTGGTGTTTACTCTTTATTGGATTCCATTTAACATAATTATTGTAACATTGTAACTAATCACTTCAATTGTTCTTCCAGTTTTGAGATTTGAGAAAACAGATACGATACACCTGCAGATAAGCGTCACGTTAATTACCAGGTGAAAAGGTTACAGTATCTCAAAAGTGATGAGTGATGTAGTGAAACAATAGTGTGTGTATAGTGTTGTGAGTGCCTCTACTGTAGTGGCCTGGCTGGCACTCTGGTGAAAGTGTAGGTCAGAGATGAACTAACAGTGCCATCATCACAAGTACCGAGCAAGGTGGACCTAAGAGGTTACCATTAAACAAGTATTCGTCACTTGCATAAAATCACCAGCGGGAACATGATGGATGGAGGAGGAGGAGGAGGGTGCCTGTCACCTTGTCAGTGTTCCCCTCGGAAGAGAAGGAAATCCTCTTCGCCTCCCTCTTCTTCCTGTTCCTCTTCCTGCTCGTCCTCGTCCTGGTGTCATGGCGGCCTCGAGACCCACGACAGCGAGGACCCGCCGCCCACCTGGGTGTACATGACTGTGTGGGTGGCCGGGGTCCTCGTCTATGTGAACGGTCTGACGGGCGACTTTGTGCACGACGACGTCAGCGCCATCAAAACAAACCCGGACGTAATAGGAACTAATCCTCTCTCCCACATGTTCTTCAACGACTACTGGGGCAAGCCCTTGGTCGACCCACGCTCCCACAAGTCTTACCGACCCTTCACCATCCTCACCTTCAGGTAAGCTATCATCCCAGTTCTTACAGCACGGGTGAGTACACGGAGTTATGTATCAAGTATATAGAGTCACTGCCTATCACTACTACATTTTGGAAAGGACTTTGAAAATAATGAATGGTGTTGTTACCTAGGGAGGGACATTACACCATAGCTGCGTTAGTGGGGGAGTGGGCGGTCGTAAACCTATCTACACTAATACCTAAAGTAACCTAACCTAACCTCATCCTAACACCCTAACCTAACCCACCCTAACTAGCCACTAACCTAACCATGCCTACCCAAATCCTACTTATGTCTAACCTAACCTAACCTAACCTAACCTAACCTAACCTAACCTAACCTAACCTAACCTAACCCGCATTTTTATCTCCTTTTGTTATTTTAATATAAGTGGCTTTATTATTATTCCATTGAGGACTTTGTTTAATCCCTTGAGATCGACAACTTACTTTGAGGATGACGTTTTAATCCGACAGAGGATGATAATTTAACCCTTTGATGATGATAGCTTAACCCTTTTATGACGATTTAAACATTTGGAGACCACCTAACCCTTTGATGAGACAATTTAACCCTTTGAGAACGATAGCTTAATCCTTTTATGACGATAATTTCACCCTTGAGGACGACAGTTTAACCCTTTGATGAGACAATTTAACCCTTTGAGAACGATAGCTTAACCCTTTTATGACGATAGTTTCACCCTTGAGGACGACAGAAAGTTTAAAACACATCTATTTGAGACGACAGTTTGCCTACGAAAAATTATCACGAAATTACCAAACTATAAAATAAAAGTCAAGAAAAAAACAAAAACTAAAATATTAAAACATGTTCACTAAAATTGGTCCAAATATAAAAGGTCAAGAAACACTAAAGAACGTAAAATAAGGATAAAGGAAATAATCTAAAGCCGAAATGTAAAAAAAATAAAAAAAATAAAAGCCAAAACAAAAAATTCTAAAAAAAAAAATAAAATCCCCAAATAAACCACAAAACAGCCAAAAACAATAAAAGTCTATAACTAAGGTAAAAAATAATCAACAATCAATAAAAAAATGAAAAACAAACAACGGATACAAACTGAGAAAAAAAATTCCAAAAAACAATTCAGGACCGAAAATAAATTGTCAACAAATGGTCAAAACTAGGAAAAAAATATTGACGTCAGAGGCATTCCACGAGGAGGAGGAGGAGGAGGAGGGGGGGAGAGAGAGGAGGAGGAGGAGGAGGGAGGGGAGAGGAGGAGGAGGAGGAGGAAGAGGAATAGAAGGAGGGAGCGGCGGAGGCTTTGAGAGAATCCACACTCCATAACAATACAAAGGTAACAATAACATGGTAATGGACAGGTGTACTGGAGGGGGAGGGCTAGAGAGGAGTACCTGTCAGTGATGCTCCAGGACAGATTAAATTATCTCCCGTCAAAGGTGGAGGCTGGTGACCTGACATACACTCAAACGATCCTTACCACTTGAAAATCCTTTATATTATTCACGATTTTATCTTCTTATATTCTTAATAACTCCTATAACATTATACCGTTGCTGGGTGATCGTCATACTAAATTCCAAGCGAGAGTAAAGTAGTAGTAGTAGTAGTAGTAGTAGTAGTAGGATAGCTTTAAAGTTAAACTGATGTAGATTTTCAGTTTTATTAAATACTTTATCACCGCTAAAGTACTGTATCGCGGCTCAACACACATTAAAGAAAGTCAGAATAAAAGTATACAAAATTTCGATGATTATTGTAACTTTCTTCGTCTGAGAGTAACAGTAACATAGGGTAACAGTAACATGAAGTAACAGTAACACATCAACATGTAACAGTAACATGAAGTAACAGTAACACACAGTAACAGTAACGGGGTAACAGTAACATGAAGTAACAGTAACATGAAGTAACAGTAACACGGAAATAACATGGAATGTAACACACAGTAACAGTAACACAAGGTAACAGTAACACACAGTAACAGTAACACACCGTAACATGAAGTAACAGTAACACAGTAACACATGTGGTACCGTATGTTATTCTATTAATATAATCTTATGTGTTAAAGTGTTTGTAATAGTAGTATATCATTTAGGAGTTATTAACCACACTAAGAGAAGTAATTGCCTATAATTACTCTTTAATGGTTATAGGGGAGAAGAAGAAAGATATTATAATCTGTAGCTTAATTTATTTTAGTTTTTATTTATTTCCTGAACAACGAAGAATTTTTGTCAACACACACACACACACACACACACACACACACACAAAAAAAAAAGAGAGAGAGAGAGAGAGAGAGAGGCGGGGGGCGGTGTAGGGTAGGTAACAGGACATACAGTGCCATCCTTGTGTCTAATTGAGGATACGTGTAGCTCAGGAATTACTAAGGGAAGTGTCTTTAGGGCAGAGCAGCAAAATGGAGCATCAGGGACTCAGAGAGGAGAGGAGAGAGGGAGGAGAGGAGAGGAGAGGAGAGGAGAGGAGAGGAGGAGAGGAGAGGAGAGGAGAAGAGAAGAGAGGAGGCAGGCGAGGTTGACTGAGGGTTGAATGGGAGAGGAGAGAGAAAGGAAGGGGAGGCAGGTGATATTGACCCGAGGTTAAATGGGGGAGACTAGAAATAGAGATAGGACGGAAATGGGTCGATCATGGGTGAATGGAACGAAATTGATTCATCAGGGGTTAATGGAAATGGGAAATGAGTTGATCAAGGTTAAGTGGAAATCAGAAATGGATTGATCAAAGCTGAGTGAAAGAACCTAACCTACCCTGACCCTAACCTAATTTAACCTGACGTAACCAAACCTAACCTAACCTGGACAAACCTAACCTAACCCTTCCTGGACATACCTAACCTAACCAAACGTTTCTTATGGGCGACTAATCTTCAGGTGATCAGTTACTTGAAGGCTTGTAACACCATAACACTCACTGCACTTTGTCAACACCCAAGAAAATTTCCTTCTTCAGTTTTACATCACCAGCAAGATAAATCGTCCACAAATTTTCCTGTATCTTTGTCGTCAAGTTCCATCCCGTCACGTCTTGTTATTGAATCATATTTTACCTCTGAGAATTCTTTACGTTTGAGATTATTAAGTTCACATTTACGATTACCAAGGTGTTAGGAGTAAGTGGGAGTGTGTCTAGGAGCGGCTAGGAACAGCTAGGAGCGGCTAGGAAAAGGTAGGAGAATGCTTAGGAGAGTTGGCTAGGGACAGTTGGGAGTGTCTAGAAGCAGCTAGGAACAACTGGGAGACTGGCATCTTTATTGCTACCATTAAACAACGCGCAACAGACACCGTTATTAAACAGACTCGGTGCTGGCTCTTCTGTTAGAGGTATTTTCCGCTGTTATTGCTGTTTTTATTACTGTGTTGTAGCCGTTTCTGTTGTTTAACTGTTGCTCTGTTTACATTGTTACTGGACCAGAGAAACTGCCTTAGTTGCCAACAAGCGAGAAAACAATGTAATAACACAGACATACATACACACATACATACATACACACATACATACATACACATACAACTACATACATACACATACATACATACACACATACATACATACACACATACACATACATACATACATACATACATACACACACATACATACATACATACATACATACATACATACATACATACATACACACATACATACACACATACATACGTGACACTAACATTATACGCGTTAATACAATCATTAAAATAATCCACGTACAGAATATCTTTACACAGAGGGTCCATAAAATTCAAAATGACCACTGTAACTCCTGTTGTCTCAGTAGGGTTGTCAAAAACCTTCGTCCTTTGTGTCATATTGTCTAACACAAAAGGGTGAAGATACTTTTTTGGGGTAGTATGTTTAGGTAAATTATATGCATTAATACTATAATTTTTGTGATGAGTTATGTGTGTGAGTTAGTTTAATTTATCATCAACTTATTACATGTGGTTAAAGTATTGTGGGTTAGTTTCTTTCAGCTTATAGGAATTACCTAGAGGACAAGTTGACTTTAGACACATACAATGATACTGAGGGAAGGTTAGGTTAGGTTATACTGAGGAATTCTTGCAAGAAGGGAGACAGTGATTCTTAGAAGGGTAGATATTTAAAAAAAGCAATCAGGAGAGTTAATGCATTTTACAGTCTTCACTTCAGAGTTAATGAATCAAATGAAACGCAAAACTGTTTCATTAACGTAGAAAACGACGCGGTGAATCACGTTACGTAAACGAGTGAAGAAGGTGATGAGGGTGAGAATGTCGATTATTTCTTCTAAAAGCCATATTTTGGGTTCACATCTGACACTTCAGTTGTGTAAATGATCACACACACACACACCCCTTTCCCCACACACACAACACCCCCCACACACACACAACACCTCCCACACACAACACCTCCCCACACAGAACACTCCCCACACACAACACCCCACCCCCACACACAACACCCCCCACACCCCACCCCACAAAACACACACCCCCACACACACAACACACCCCCCCACACACACACACTACAAGAAGAGGATCGTACCCACCTCTGAGCCCCAGCATGAACCTCTTGCTCACGAGACCTTTCCTACTGTGTGTGATGGAGGGATTAAAGACACACTCCCACACACTTAAACACCACCTCCACTATCACCACTACCACCATCACTACCACCGTCACTACCATCATCACCACTACCACCACCGTCACTACCACCATCATCATCACTCACCACCGTCACTACCACCGTCACTACCACATCACCACTACCACCATCCACCACCATCACTACCATCATCACCACTCACACCACCGTCACTACCACCACTACCACCGTCACTACCACTACCTCCACCACCTCCACTACCACCACCACCACAGCACCTTTGCCGCAAGCTTACGGAACTTACACCAGACTGAGTAACCATCTCCAGCACTTCTGTTTGTGGGAGAGAGAGAGAGAGAGAGAGAGAGAGAGAGAGAGAGAGAGAGAG